TTGCCGAGCGTGGAAAAGGGCCCACGAGGTCAATGCCAACTTGCTCAAAGGGAGTGCTGGGAGGCGTCACAGGCTGTAGAAGTCCAGCCGGAGCAGTCGTGACTGATTTGTGCGTCTGGCATTGAGTGCAACTGGCCACGTACTGCTCAACTGACTGGCGCATGCGTGGCCAGTAAAATCGCTCCTGTGTACGAAGGAGTGTTCGCGTCATTCCCAGGTGACCCGAAGTTGCGTCGTCGTGCATGGCGCGCAGAATGGAGGAACGGAGTGTGTGCGGCACCACCAGCAAGAAGCGGGAACCCGTGGCCGAGAAGGTCCTCTTGTAAAGTAATCCTTCACGAACGCAAAAGCGTCCGGCCAAAGTGGACGCTCGTGCTTCAGCAAATAATGGCTCCAAGCTGACATCCTTCCGCTGTTCATTTTCAAAGGTGGTCTTGTCCGGGAATACTGGAGTCACTGACGCAATTAGGTGATCGAAATTGTCGGCATCGCAAAGTGTTGTAGTAAGCGGCATCCGCGAAAGGCAGTCAGCGTCAGCGTGCTTCCTGCCACTCTTGTATGACACCGTGAAGTCATACTCTTGCAAGCGGAGGGCCCAGCGTGCCAGGCGGCCAGATGGGTCTCGGAGGCTTACAAGCCAGCACAAGGAATGATGGTCTGTGACCACTTGGAAGGGACGACCGTACAGGTATGAACGGAATCGCTGTACAGCGAAGACGAGTGCCAAACATTCTTGCTCAGTCACTGTGTAATTCCGTTCTGGTTTACTTAAAGTTCTGCTGGCATACGCAATGACATGTTCCTTTCCACTGTGTCGTTGTACTAGAACTGCACCTATGCCAATGCCACTGGCGTCAGTATGAACTTCGGTCGGCGCCGAAGGGTCGAAGTGTCGGAGAATGGGCTGCGATGTGAGTAAGAACTTGAGTTGGTTGAAAGACGTCTCACAGTCATGTGTCCATTCAAAGCTAGTACCTTGACGTAGCAGACTGGTCAAGGGGAAGGCAACGTCGGCGAATGCGGGAATAAATCGGCGAAAGTACGAGCACAGGCCTAGGAAGCTGCGAAGCTCTTTCGTTGAGCGAGGTGGTTTGCACGCTTTCACAGCTGCTGTCTTGCTCGGGTCAGGCCTGATCCCATCTTTGTTCACAAGGTGCCCAAGTACTAAGGTTTGTCGCTCGCCGAAATGACACTTCTTCGAATTAAGAACAAGGCCAGCGTTTCTAATGCATTCCAGGGAACGACTGCTGGCGAAGTATCCTTTAAACGACGCTAGCTTAAGTCCTCCTGGTAGCAGCACCGGTTCGTTTGAATAATTCGTTGTCCAAAGGTCTGAACGACCTTCACTCACTGAAACTATGCTGTGGGGTACCAACGTGTTCTTCTTTATACAACTTAGATGGAAAGGCTCCACTAGCGCATCGAAACTGGTCTTATTGTCGTTAATATGCGAAGAAGCTACTGGAACGCGCACAGCACAGAAGGCCGGGATAACGGTATCTTCATAGACTCGGAGCGCACCGCTTTCCGTACCCGAATTCTCGATAAGTCCATGAGGAACAGCGTCACTTATGATAACTTCGCCATTTCGACAGTCTACAGTGGCTCCGCACATTCGCAAGAAATCTATGCCTAGAATGATGTCATGAGTGCTCCGCGGAAGAACCGTGAATTCTGTCACAAACACTTGATCACTCAGTAACACTGCCGCGGTACAAACACCAATCGGACACAACGAGTTGCCGCCCACGCCACAGAACGTTATCGCTTTCTCCAACAAAAAGGTCACCTTTCTTCCCAAACGAGCTTTGAACGCAGCACTCATGATCGACACGGCGGCTCCAGTGTCCACCAAAGCCATCGTATGTACACCATCAACAAAAACTTGCACTTTGTTTTTAAACATAAGCACCGGTGGAGGTATCTCTTCTTGCAGCGAATCACCAGCGACCTCACCCCCAGCGGCCGCGCTGCCTAGTTTTCCGGAGGCGGCGAAGGGTAGCGGCGCCTAGGAGACGGCGACCGATTGGAGCGAGGGGCTGGCGGGGGTGTCAGACTGCGGTCAGAGGCTGGAGAACGGTTTCGCAGCGGCCTTGGTGTCTCGTAAGATGCGCTTCCAGGGAACGTTGGTGCTTGTGCAAAGTCGGACAGGTGGGATCTCGGTGGCCAGTCGTACCTCGGCGGCTGCCGGTAGTTACAGTACCTGGCAATGTGGCCTTCGACGCCACAGTTGTAGCAGATGGGTAGGGGTCGCTCGCCGAACCACTGCTGAGAGCGCTGGGCTGTGTAGGGTCGCCTAACCGAACGGGGTGGAGCAGATTGCTGAACGGGAGCTGCGCGCCTCTGTGGGGCGGGGCCGGGACGAAGACGTTGGTCATACCGCTGGTCAGACGCGAATGAGTCTCGGCGTGGCCACGAAGCCCTAGCTTCGCGAACGTCTGTCACACATACTGATGGTGGCAGAGGAGCGAACGGGGCCGGGTAGTAGGATGAACAGGTAGGCGTATGGCGGATGGTGTCGTGGAACAGTGTGTCTTGTCGCTGTAGTTCTTCCCGCACTATTGTCCGGATAGTAGCGGCAAGGTCGGCGGGCGGGCTCACGTCGACGCTGGCGACCGTTGTTACATTTGCCAGCCTACCAAATTTCGGGGCAATACGACGGGTCTTTAGCTTCTCAAAAGTACGGCAGTGACGTTGGACGGCGGAGACGGAAGTGAGGTCTTCCCTGCCTATCAAAAAGTTGTAGACGTCCTCTGCTATACCCTTCAGAAGGTGGCCGACCATGTCCTCTTCAGTCATGTACGGGTCTATGATCTTGCAGAGCATCAGGACCTCCTCTATGTAGGTGGTACACGTTTCTCCAGGAGTCTGAGCTCTTTGAGCCAACGTGCGCTCCGCGCTCTTCTTTTTTGAATCAGAGTCGCCGAAGCATTTCTTGAGCTCTTCAGTGAAACGATCCCACGTTGTTAAGGAATCTTCGTGGTTTTCGTACCACATCAGAGCTGTTTCCGTGAGAAACAGCGCGACATTTCCCAGTTGGTCGGTGGCATCCCAGCAGTTGTACCGGCTCACCCTTTTGTACTGTGTCAGCCACGCATCCACATCTTCTCCTGCTCTTCCCGCGAACGGGCGGGGTTCCATATAGTGATATCGAGGTGCAGCTGGCACTGACCTTTGTGTGGTTGAGAAGGCGTGACCTTCGCTCTCGGCCATGGCAGTTGGTGTCGGTGGCAGACCGGCAATACGACGGCTCCGGCGAAGTTCGAACAGCTGTGGCTCCGTGGTTCGTCGACGTATACTGTACCCAGCACCTTCCACCACTCTGTTACGCCTGAAGTAGGGGTACGGGGGTTTATTGAACGGAAGCTGGGATGGCGAGGCCGCACCGGATAAAACTGCCGAGAGATCTTCTTCTTCCCAAGTCCACACTTCTATTCCCTCTTATCAATCCGGCACATACACGTCGTAATAATATATATATACGTACATACTATACCATGTACCGGGTAACATAAAAAATATTGAAATTGTTTCTTTGATACGCTTTCAGAATATAAAAACTGTGAACATCTATTGTAAAGTGCCCAAAAGTCACAATAATCAAAATATGTTAGTTTAAGACATATTCATAAATATAACAATGACTGTTGCGCATTCAGTGCCATATTATTCAGCTGCATGAATTGTGGATTTTTCTGCCTGCCTCAGAGCAAGAAGCTGGTTCTGAAAAAAAACAAAAACATCAGGTGCTCGGCACATACAGGAAAAATCAATTGGCTTTTTAACTAAATAGTGCTTTGTAGTTTACAAAATATGCGATATGTCATCGCTGTGATAAATGAGATTTAAAAAAAAAATACTTGGAACAACTGAGTGGGTCACTGTTGTGACAAACACCAGCTAATTTGCTGCGGCTGCGGCCCCGAGGGAGCCGCCGCCACTCGTTTCCTTGTTCCTCCCGTGCCTGCCCCGTCGCGCTGCAGCGGCTGCAACTAACCCTACGGCTGACAACGCGCTCTCCCATAGAAAGCCACTCCATGCGGCAAGCTGTACCGTGCGTTCTTTCATCCAGCAGTCATGGTACTTTTATGCAACGAAACATTGTTGCAGTCATCGCTCATTGCATTTCGCGGCTTCTTGCATTCCAAGGCATAGGTTCATCGTAGGCAGTCGTAGCTACAGAGAACGGTGCCAAAAAAGGTTGCCATGAGAAATTTGATTACAAGGCTTCATGCTGCCTCCCATTTCTTCTTCTTCGTTTTCAATTCCTGATTGCTGTTCTGCCACTGAAGAAACATCTGGAAAATGAGCAGCCTTTCTTGCAGTGTCCGAATCAGTGTACGGTGCTTGCCGATCTAGGATACCTTCGCGGCAAATAAACTAGCGAAGCATGCGCGAGCGAGCACTCTTCTCAAACTTTAACTGTTTTAACTGGCATGTTTTAACTGTTCTTTAGCTTCGTATGCGTCATATTTTTACTGCCACCATATCTGAAGTGTTCATTGTAAAAGTAAGGTGGCAGCAAGGACGACGTTGTTTAGGATGCCGCAGATACTTCCGAAAAATCCGATGACATCATCGTGCACATCTAATAAGATGATGGCCCCAGCAGCGATTAGGGCACTGAGTTATGTAAATGAAGGTGTGCTACGTTTCAATTTCTTTTTTTCTACACCAAAGAAAAAAACATTGGTCGACCTATATTCGACTATTTAATTTTTTTTCCTCTCGTAGAACACTATAAGTAGCGATCGACCTATATTCATGCCCGACCTGTTTTCGAGTAAATACGGCACTTTTCTCGGCCATTTACTGGCCGACTTTTTTTAGCAAGCCATTCAGCTCATCAGCACTTGAGTTGTAAAGTTTCGTGAGGGCTGATTTGATAGGTATGAAATACTTTAGTAAGAAGAGGAATGACATTACTTTCGCATCGCATTAGAAGCACTTGTTCCAGTGTGCAGACATGTGTATGTGGCTGTTTGTGGATGGCTTTGCAGGGTCATCTTCCGGAAATGCCGAAGGAGCGCATGGGAGCCCCCGAGAGCAAGCGCGGCAGGAGGACGGCAGCGTCCCTCTTGTCGAGCCTGCATCAGTCTGGTCTTGGGGGAGCCTCCTCATCTTCTGGTGGCGCGGCGAACCTCGGGTTTCCCTCTACCTCCGCCCTGAACCCTCTGAGCTTCAGCAGCAGCATGCTGGGAAATTTTCCAGGGCTCAAGTTTTTCATGGAGCCCGGCAAGTCGTCAGCAGCAGTGACATCCCCATCAACGTCGTCGGCCACACCCCCTCTATTTTTGCCATTTGGCGGCCTGGCAGGTATGGGATTGGCCAATCCCTTGTTCAGCTTCCCCGGCCTGGGCTTCCAAGGCCTGCCCTTTGAGGAGGCCAAGGAAACCAAGGCCCAAGATGGTGAGCGGGCCCCCAGCAAGGAGCGCCATAGCAAAGGTACCCCCAGCAGCAGCAGTGGCGGTGGTGGCGGCAGCAGCGGCGGCAGCAGCAGCACAAACCTTCCTACATCATCAGCTAGCTTAGCATCAACATCGTTTCCTTTCCTGTACCCCTCAGGACTGCTCTACAATCCCTTGGGCCTGGGTGGCTTCTCGCTACCCACGAACATGTCGGCCTCATTTGCCTCTCTGGCCCAGGCAGGCCTGGTGAATGGCCTCGGGGGGCTGGGTAGTGTCATCTCGTCAGCGGCAGGCAAGGCCCCTTCAGCGTCTTTGGCCAGCTCAAGGCGACCTGCTGCGCCCTCGGTCACATCTGCCCTCGGAGCTGGCTTGCGTAGCAGTGTACTTCCGCCTCCATTATCCACGACTGCTGCTCGCCGGCCCGCACCAATACCCCCACCAACCCTTGACTCCGATGATGAGAGTCTCATGGGCAACGACATGGACGACCTGGATGATCTCGACGACCGCGACAACTCGGATGAGCTAGATGATGAGCCTGACCAAAAGAGGCCACGTGAAGAGCGGTCTAGCAAAAAGCCAGAAGCACCACCCCATGATAAGGTTGCGTCATAGCTGGCCTTCACAAACATTTATTTGGGGTATGGCTTGGGAAGCACCTCTGGGTTTCTATTTTCTGCTCTTTTGTACAGTCGAACTCCATTATAAAAGACAGCAGTATGCCTACAGTGAAATACAGGGGATAGGAAAATGCATACAAGATCCTCTGCTTGTAAGAGACATCTCAAATAAAAGAGAAGAATTGCAGCCTGGGGCATGCCTTTTATAAAGGAGTTCAACCGTATTTATAGTCTGTCACTGGAAAGGCTTGCATTTGGTTAAAACCTCTCCCGTATGGATGATGCACTTTTGTTCTCCATCTAGATGCCTGGTTCCTTGTATTTAGTTTATCGGTTTGAACAGGCCTTCTTATTTCTTCTTCTGACTTTCCTTCCCTTTGATACATCTACGGGTTTCTCTGCAGTGCAAACTAATCACGCAGTGGGCTATTTGCATAGCATCTTTCAATTGTCGGAATTCATGTATTGGTGTTGCTCTTTTTGCTAGTAGACTATGGCTTCACTTTGTGAAGCCAGCAACAGGCACCTCGCTGCTTGGCCATGTATGACCACTCGCAGTCCCATCACTTAAATGTTTCTTACGGGTGAGACATTCCTGAAACTTTCTTTGTGCTTTGTTTTGTTTTACTTTCTGCGTCTGCTTACATTTTATGTACCTCTCAAATAGCACGTACTTACAAGGCGAAGTAAACGTCGCATTACGTGAGCTGAGGGGAACATGAAATTACCTTTGCGGCAACATTTTAAGGAATGTGTAAATAATAGTGGTCCTTAAGATGTGGCTTGCACAAGAATTTGCTTGTGAGAATGGAAAGGTAGGCCATAATAGTTTGTGTCACTTTTTGTCACCATATGGTATCCTTTCTGAAAACTTCATATAAGCACCTGTGCTTTGTTACTGTAGATTCTTTTTTATGCTTTTACCATGGTATGATTGTCGAAATGAATGGAAAGGTAGGCCATAATAGTTTGTGTCACTTTTTGTCACCATATGGTATCCTTTCTGAAAACTTCATATAAACTCCTGTGCTTTGTTACTGTAGATTATTTTTTATGCTTTTATCATGGTATGATTGTCGAAATGAATGGAAAGGTAGGCCATAATAGTTTGTGTCACTTTTTGTCACCATATGGTATCCTTTCTGAAAACTTCATATAAGCACCTGTGCTTTGTTACTGTAGATTCTTTTTTATGCTTTTACCATGGTATGATTGTCGGTGTGTTGCATGCGTGTGCATACATGGTCAGAATGACTTGCTCTCGTTGAAATCTCACATTGTATTTATTTTTTACTCATTTGAAGGTCATGGAAGTGTAGGCCACTCTTATGAACCGAAGTGGTAGCATTGTTGGCACGATGTTTTGGTTTTATATTGTCCACATTTACAGAAATGGAATGCAGGGCTGATAAAAATCTTGCTTTTTAACGTTTGTTTTTTATGGGTATTGTGAGCAGGATTCATAAAACTGTGAAATGGGCGCGTAATTTTGTGCACATTCATGGCCCCTTGCACATAGCAAACCAGCATTTCCATTGTTAAGATTTAAAAAGACATGCCCAAGGTGATGTCTGACGGCATTGTACAAAGAATTTGCGGTTGTGTACAGATATCGTCCTCCGCCCTCTTGCCCCATGCAGCTTCTTGTTTTGATATACATCGATGTCATAAAATAGGAAAATGCTTTCTGCCATTGGCTGAACTGACAAAGGCACTGAAAGATAGTAACAACACATTTTGACCTGCCTCTGTCAGAACAGCTGTTCTAAAAAAAGGTTATTTTGGACATATATAAATATATATATATATAACACAACACACATACACATATATATAATTATATACACACTCACGTGCATTTCCTCTTTAGACTATTTTTTTTTCTTTTGCCTAGACAGCTTTTACTTTGCCTTAGGTGCAGGGCAGGGGCATTCTTATCGACCATTTTATGTAAGATTACTTGAGTGTCTGCGTCGTCTTGTCAGTTGTTCAGACATGATGAGGCATTTGTGTATAGCTGTGAAACCATTGTAAAGGTTCTACGAACAAGTAATTGTGTATGTTTTTATCTTTTCAAAGGGCACTGTGGTAGTGCTGCTTTATTCCTATTTTTCTATCAAGTTCTGACTGCTTTTATGTACTGTGGCTTTTTCTGCATACTCAGTTTCTGTTGCATACACCTGCTTTTTATATATATATATATATATATATATATATATATATATATATATATATATATATATATATATATATATAATAGTGCCTTCTTTGCACCACTGTCTTTTGTTTAGTTGCTGAGTTTTGTGCCGACATTTATTTACAGAGAACTTATAAACTTATATGCAATGCCTACCTTTGCTTTATTTCTGTCACTACGTTGTAAAATTTATTTATTTGCTGCTTTGCTCTGCAGTTTTGTTGGTGTTAGTTTGAGGTGAGTTGAGCTTGTCGCCTCATTAGCATTGGATTAAGGTAGCTGTGTGAGCTGAGAATGCATGTCCCTTTGCCCTTCAGTCTTTTTTATTTTCTCATCATTTTTTAGTCAGCTTAGAGGTAGCTATATCAGAAGGCGGGCACGGAGAAGTCTACAAGAGTCGTGCCTTCTGTGTCGACAAAGGAAAACCCTGTACATGCAATGTTGGTTGGGAAAAAAAAAAATGAATAAGTGACGTTGGACTTTTTGTGACACCAGCAATGTCATAGTGCATGAGTGATGCAACCTTTCATATAGTGTTTGTACAAGTGTATGAAATTAAATCTTGAAAGTGAAAGAACAATTGTGTGTGGAAAGTTTTCTTGAGTGATTTTCTATCAACATAAGGTACTGGTTTTATTTATAGAACTGGCTAACTTGTTGACCATGAAAATTACTGCATCATCCCAGTCTAAAGGTGTAGGATTTCTAACGATAAGATATAGTAACGATGATATATCTCTCTTTCACCACTTGCATATACACATTTGCTTTTTTCTCCTTGTTTCTTGTGGGCTGCAAGAATTTGTAGCTGCTCGTAGTTACAGCACTCCAACAACTGTGTAGCAAGCTTTCAATGTCCTGAATGTACTTGCCCCTTTGTGCTGAAAATGTTGCCAGAAGAGCGGAATATTGACGTCAATACTAGCTTGGCTGGAGTGATTTATCTTGCTAGCTGTTAGCTTGGAGACTATGATTTGCGCTGCTAATAGTATGTGGTTGTTTCACTGGGATGACATATGAGGTGTGTTCATAAAGAAACCAAACCATTCCTCTAACGGTCGGCCTCTAGGTAGTCCACTCTGCTTGCAATACTTTGAATGGTTTCTCCAATTTTCAATTTTTTGGGGGGAAAGTCTTCAGTCACATTACGAACCATTTTCAACATCGTGACCCGATTTTAAATAGCAAGCCTAAAATATTAAGGCAGTGAAGCGCAACTGCTGAACATTTGCCGATTGTTGTTTCGTGATAAAGCAGCTTCAAGCCACGCAAAGCCAAAAGGAACGTAAAATACGAAGACTAGACAAATCCATGAACTACCCGTAATTCCCATGCTCGCTGATGCACCGTGCATTGCAGCTCCCATGGACACTAGCGTCAGAGTTCTCTACAACACAAAAGAAGCTATTTTACGTCTGATAAACATCTTGAACAGCTAGTCGAAAGGGCTAATAGACGTCTTGATCAAGGCATTTATAGCCGTAGACGGCTATTTTACCGTCGGATAGCTGTCATCTAAAAGAAGTCTTGCAAGACCAAATTTGGACGTTTTCTAGACGCTTTTGTTTTTTCGCATTCTGCTTGTTGTCATGTAACAGAAGTCTTGCAAGACCAATTTTAGACTTTTTGTTTTATTGCGTACCGCTAGTTGTCATCTAAAAGAAGTCTTGCAAGACCATGTTTAAATGTTTTCTAGACATTTTTGTTTTTTCGCTGTAGTAGCATTAGAAATGTAAAACAAGCAATTGCATCTTGGAAGGTTGTCAACTTCGGCTTGTTGGTTTGTTATACTCATAAACTGTAGAATGTGAAAGGTGTAGACAGGAACACAAAAAGGCCTCTCTGTGTTCCCATCTACGACTTTTACATGCAAGTTTACGAGTATGGCAAACCAACAAGCCCAACACGGCGCCCCTCTAACATGTTATAAGGCTTGATTTGCATTTTGAATTCTGTGCATCTCTGTGTTCCTGTCAATTTTCCATGCACAAAAGTTTATGAGTAAACCATTATATCTTTGGTTAGCAGCCTGATGACTACTATAGAAAATAAAAGGGACAGGAAGCCCTTTATTGTTGTTTTACTCCCTTCGTGTGTCAGCTGTCGTGCTGGTGACCAAGAAGTTTATCAATGTACTTGTATATCTACCCTACTCTCACAGATCTACATGCAAGCTTCTATTGAGCTCATAATATCATAATAATATGATAGGCACAGAATTGACAGACTTCAGAATTCACTTTCATGTAAATGAACAGGCAGACATGCTCAAATGAGTGATTACTCCATTCTTTGCAAAGAGGCATTATTACTAAAGTAGAATTGAATACTGTCGAAATGCAATTGAAAGGGTAACAGCAAGGACAAATCTGACTGTGCCTGTAGCCAAAAAAATTCAATTTCTCCATCAATGTGCTCCAGGACTCTGGCTATTACAGAATCTGGCACTGTAGTGGACTGCACGTGCTATGCTTAAAAGCGGCAGTGAAGAAGCTAAACACAAGAAAAAGCAAGTAAGGAAGACAAAAAAACAATGCAGTATGGTAAAGCATTTTAAATAAGATATGCCATTTTACTAACTTGTAATAAATTTTTTTACCTTAAGCAATCTTGGGATCATATGCACTTGATGATGCTTAAATTTCAAGTATGAATACCAGATACATCATGAAAAATAACTGAATTCAAACTGGCAAGTTTTTATAATACGTACTGATCGGACACGCAAGCGTAGTTTTAAAGAAATACAAGCACGATTTTAGCACAAGATAGAGCTAGCCATTTTTTAAGTGAGTGTTGAAAGTTATTAAGTACCTGTTTGAAAAATGCAGAAAAGCTGTTGTCTGGCATGTGCATGGTAGACACTTCACACAAAATGTTTCTGTGCGAACCATTCCTGGTGTCTTCCCTAACAAGCTATGCCATTTCTCCACCAAAACGCTCACTAACAATCTCACTAGTACTGTACCATATCAACATCACATCAGAGGAAATACGTAACAGGCACTCATATTGAACGGCAGTGCAAACATTCAAGATCTGGATTACCGTGATACATAACAATGGCAGCAACACGGCAATAAAGAGGCAAAGTTCATCAAAAAAATACAGTAGTGGTTACTTTGTCTAATGCAACATGCCCAGGCCCGGCACACTCGTACGAATCTTTGTAGAGCGAAGCACAGTACACTTATGTGAGTCCAACACACCGCTTGTAGAGGCAACCCCACTAATATTGTCTGATGTGACACCAACACGTGAAAAAGAAGTTGATTTTGGTGTATGCATTCTGTCCGTATCAGTTGAACCTTGCTGGACATTCGCTGGCGCGAGAAAGTCGCGCATCAATGGCTCGACAACAGCATTGAGTTGCCGTTGCTTTTGTCGTCGATATAAAGCTTCCAGTGGCTTTTTCTTTCTCTCCATTACCGCAGCTAGGGTGTCTGAAAGAGTTCACCCTAAATTTGAAAAATGAGCCTGCCCCATGACCCAAAAATATTCTTCGTAAATATGACTGTATGACTTTCGTGCCAAAAGGGAAGTCGCGTGCACTATTTAAGGACCGTACTATTTCTTACCTTGACTGTAGGTCAACTGCGGATTTTCAGCAATAGACATTCTGGGTGCCCGTTGAAGTGTGATGCACCAAGCATCCAAAACGTTCACACAAAGACAGACTGCCCCTTGGACTGCTACCGCTCACTCCGGCAAAGTGGTCACGCTGGAAAGTTGCTCCGCATCGAACATACTCAAACATGAGTTCTAGAGTGCCTCGTTGCACCCGTGCGCGCATCAAGGCGCACTAATGAAATCAGCACACAGCGCCGCCGCCAAAAAAATTGCAAGTAGGCGTCATACACGTTTTACTTTCTAAAAAAGAAATGCAGTTTTAAAAGGAGCAACAACCACAGTTGATTGCATTGTTTATTAATGAAATATAAAGAGCAGTTTTGAGACAAGGCTCAGGTTTATGAGGTTAAAGTGTAAATGTGCCCACGTTTCAGATGCCACATGAACGTAACGCACATAATAAAAATGTAATGTCGATGTTCCTGATAAAGACGGTCAACTCGCGCTGCTGATGGGGCGTGTAAGAGTCAATTTGTTGAAGCGATACAAGCAATGCCATATGTAAAACATGAAAGGCGTTGCTGACCCGAGTCGTCAGTTAAATAAAATGCGTGTGAACGAACTGTCGCGTTACGACAAGACGAGTTTTTATAAAAATTGGTTTTGTGGTATTTTTTCTTTGAACACGACAGTCATCGCTCCTAATGTGTCGTTTCGCATTATTAAAATATGCATAGAATAACATTTTGAAAGGAACGATTGCTTCTCTCAAAAGTCTGGAAACAGTCATAATGCACGTACGTGCCTTTGTACAAAACATCTAAATAACGTCTTGGAGTAGACGTTATGAACGACGACGAGAGTGGTGATGGGGGCTTGTTGGTGATGCATTTGAAAGAAATTTATGTAGTGCGAGGCAAAAAAACGGACTCGGGAAGGAATAGACTGAGAGGACAGTTATGAACGTGTCTACCATAATGGGCTCTATGACAAATAGTCACTTCAATGCATGTCGAAAGTCAGGACAATATTCCAGACGCCAAACCAACAACGCATATTTAGGAAACTGTATGCGTGATCTGCCCGCCGACCATACACTGACCAGAAAGAGCTGCGTTTCTCGCTCTGACCGTCCCAAGTTCACTGACATTAGCCGTAAAAGGTATATGCATGCAAAAAACAGACGCGAGCACGCGTCCCTCATGTAGTACGGCCATAATCTGCCCACTCATGCAGGGAGAGAGATGCGCTCCGTTTTTGACCGATCCCGTCTCATCTGCTAGGCTTGGTATTCTGGCGACTGTACGCGTGCAGCCCGCAAAGCCACTGAGCGACGGCTCGAGCATGTGGTAGCGTTCGCGGGGAGAGAGAGAGAGAAATAATGTTTATTGCACCCGTCTAGAATGACAGAGGAGGAGGCTTCGGCCTCTGCCCCCAATCATCCCCCTAGCCATCGGCTGGAATCCCTTGGGACTCGGCGGCGGTCAGGGCGAGACTGATGACTTGACGCTGTTCTTCGGCGTCACGGCTGTGTAATAAGGCCTCCCAGGATTCTACGTTTCTACTTGGATCATTCTAAGATGGGCAGGTCCATACCGTGTGCCCTAAACCCGCAGTGCTGTTGCAGTGCGCACATCTGGAGTTGAACACTTCCGGGTGCCATTTACTGTACAGGTGAGGGTTTGGAAATACCCCAGTTTGCAATTTTCGCCACATAATTTCCTCCTTTTTGCTCAGCTGTTTAGCTGCCTCTGGATAAATCTTACAGTGGAGTTTATAGTGTGCGGGGATTTTCTGAAACGTTCGTAGTTCGTCTCTTGTGGAGAGGGGCTGCTCGCGCGAAGGCGGCGGGTCAGCGTCGATCGACCGGAAAGTGAGCCCTTGGACGATCGCGTGCGCCTTCTCATTCCCCTTCAGACCTTGATGGGCCGGGGACCATACCAGTGAGATTAACTCTGCGGGTACTGGTCTTTGTCTTAGAATTTTGGCGGTTGTAGTAGAGATCCTGCC